ATAGGAAGGAATGTCTGACACATATTTCGCTGCAGAAATGTATTACAAATTCCTTTGTTTACTTGTATAACCGTCATCTTATTAGTTAAAAATTTTGTGTTTTTCTTTCAACGCTCCTAGTTTATACCCCTGCTTCTGTATGAAAGCCCAGTTTGTTACTTTTAAATTTAATATTTTTGATGTCCGTATTTGAATGTATAGTTCTAAAATTTTATATCAGAAGCTATTTATTTCATAGTTTGAACCTTCAACACAATTGCGCATGTTACTTTTAGCGATTTCCTATGTTTCTAAAAAAAATAATTTTTTTTTATAACTTCTGTATTAAAAGTATAATTGGTAAATGTTAAAGATAATTATGACGAGATGGTGACTTCTGAAGAAACTTGCTATAGTATAGTAGTCCAAACTCTATATAGTACCTACTCCAAACTCCATACTCCATTTAATACTCCAAACTATATGTTTTATGTTATGAGGTTCTGAGGCCGTCATCTTTTCACATGACTTGGAGGAATATATTTAGAAACTATTAGAGAGTTGGGTAGTATGTACTTCATAATAAGCTTTATATATGATATACTCGCTAAGGAAGGCTCGACATGAGACCAGGCAGAAAATCAGATATCATTCCATAGAGTCACAAAAGAAATATATAAAGCAAATGAGGCTTTACTAATGGAATCCTTAAAGAGCCGTATTATAGAGAAGCAATGGATAAAATTGCTTAATGAAGCAGAACGTGTTCTCATAAACCTGCCGAGAAAGGAAGCTGTGGCAGAGTTCTGGAAGATGACGGGCCACGACTACCTCAGGAAATATCTGCATAGAACAGGAGTGACAGATTTTCCACATTGCAATGTATGGAATTCTGGAGCACACATGGATGCAGCGCATTTAAGTTTATGCTTGCACTTATTGGACTTCTTATATACCACACCGTCTAAATTGGAATGAAACTGAGCTATAAGGTCTCTAATTGCAGAAGCCGATAAATAGAGCCATAAAATAAAATTAAAAAATAACGAGTTTTATATATTCTGGAACTAAATGTGTAAGATATGATGTATTAAGAACAGTTTTATTTGTGATATGATACAAATAGGAGTTTGCGAAGAATTTCGGGTTGTAATAATTGGATATAGAAAGAATTCGATTGTCAAAAGGGACACAAAATCGTCACCTAATTTTCAAACTCAAGAGTTGTATTGATGATCTATTTCTATCCATATGATTAGAAGTTTATAATGTTTTCCTTCAAATATTGAAGCAGTCATGAATGACAAGTAGTATCATGTTGTTTCAGTCTAGTACGATGATCCATGTTTGCCATGGTCCCGGATGAAGATCTAGATTACGAAAATGTTCAACAAGGATAAGTGGATTAATTTTATGTCTGACAGGATGTTTACAACGAAGGAGAATTCCCAAAATAATTTTCATTTTTGTGATCTGTTGTAGTATATATCTGCTTTTAATGCTTTGGGATAAATAGGATTAATATGGTTTAAGTAATACAATGTATAATAGCTTGTAATACAATAGTCGTAAATTAAATACTTAAACGGTCTGCATTTTATAATATGCCACGTGTGTTTAAATAATTTTAATTGAAGAATATTATTAATTATATGATTTTTTTTAATAGAAAATAAAATAAAATACACACACACACACACACACACACACACACACACACACACACACACATATATATATATATATATATATATATATATAAAGTTAAGTTCTTCATTAAATTATTTACTTTCCTTTGGTAATTTCAGCGTAACAATCGTCCTCCTCGTCCCTCGGAAGTATGCACCAATGGCATTACTAATTGTTATTACATTATGATTCCTTTATAAATTTCTATTAATTGAAATGGAAAACACCCACACACAAAATACACCCATTTAATATTTTAAAATATAACATATTTCTATAAAATATAATGATTTCTGGACATATCAAGTAAATTTATTATTTTGATTTTAATGTACAATTTAACTATTCTGATGGTATCAGACAATTATAAAAACCCTTTTATAAAAAGACCGTTGAGTCCTAGTTATAGTTGACTGGTTTAAAGAGAAGATGGTGGGGATTGAATGGTTTAATGGGAGCGTAAATTGTAAGATATAACTGATATGTTCATGTCTTCTTTATGTTCCCTTAATTTCCTAAAATACGTGTGCCCCCAGGGCATTGCCCTGCAAATGTAGGGATGTTATATTAATTACTACACGTGGAGTGTTGTAATTAATCTAACTTAATTCGTTATTGAAGAATGATTCAAACACCATTGGTTGGTGTTATGACAAACCTTAAAAAAATAAAAATTCAGGATATCATCCCTGATTATGGTCTATCCGTTTGGCATTACATATTAAATCAACTTAAACCGCGCTAAGCCGATATCGGCGTAAACGATTATTTCATTGAACACCTTGCGAAAATAAGATTTGGTTTTGATCTTTTTTATGTATTACTTATTATCAAAAATCAATGCTGGTATGCATACTTCCTCACTCTATTAAACTACTATAATAAGCTTGAATAAGGTTTAAACCTTAAATTATGGTAGTATATTTAATAACACGTGTCTGTTTCATACACATGGTAGGGACATGTCCAAGAGCATGTGATCAACTGAATATTATCCGAACTTTATCTTGAAAACAAAAAAATTCTACAGTTTGTTGACTTGACGGTAACTGAATTTTTACGAACACTTTATGTTTTTAAATATTTAAATAAAACGTACGCTTTTTCAGCTTAAATGATATTTTTTAATTCTTTCTCCCTTCGGTATAAGTATTTGGATCATACGCCAAGAAAGTGTTACTTTTTGTTCAATGTTTATAAGTAATTAAAGTTGCGATGAAATTCCCAAAAAAATTAAGAATTACTTTTGATAATTCCAATTAAATTGTCGTTATTACTCATATTTGAGTATGCTTATTTCATAAAAAAAAAAAAATATATATATATATATTATGGAGTTGTGTACTATGATGATTTCGTAAATTTATACATAAAATGGGTGTATCTGTCACCCTCAATGTCAACTATAAAATATTTATTTCAGGACATAAATCATGTATAACTCACTATTAATTTACTTAAATTTTAGGTTCTAGAATGTTAATCCGTTTTAGAACTGTAAATTTTTATATATTATAAATTTACACTTCAAAACTTACACCAATAGTCATTGTACTATTGGATATGTATACATAAAAAAAAATTGTATTGAAATCTCGAAAAATTTCAAAAAATCTCAAACTAAGGGTGTATAATGCTATGATAAAGCCAGTTCTAATATACGGCTGTGAGACCTAGACACTAACCAGCACCCCAGAAAAAGGTATTGAAAGCTTAATAGAAGGTAAAATACCATGGTAGGCCAAAAAGCAGAAGAATAGATAGAATTAACAAAGATGCAACAGAGCTGCTTGCAGATAAATGGAAAGAAATAGCTTAAGACTGGCAGAGATGAAGCAGGCTTGTTGAGGCGGCAAAAGATCTATATGGTAATGCCAAGAGAAGAAAAAAATATATATATATAAAAAATCGAGAAAAGGAAAAAACGTTTGCTAGTTTATTAACAATGTAAAAGCAAGAAAACAACTATCGAAATTTCCGTTTTTTTTTTGTTGATCTCCATATCTTTTCCCGATTCTCTGTACGGTCTTATATATGACGAATGATAAAAATACTCAACTGATTAATAAATTTATTTGCACCCTGAATAGTTTCAGAAACTATAAACCTGTTACTTTAGTCTACGATTGGTAGAAAAATAATCACGCATGAAAAGTAGAACACATGATAATTAAAGAAAATGAAGTTAATAAATAAAATGAACTTTCAGACATACATTTCGTCAGCACCACGTTTAAGTAACGAATGTGAAAATAATCACATTTCGATGAATTTGGAAAAGTTGGGTCTTTGTTGGATTAATGATATTTTGATGTTTAAAAGTTCATTTTTCTAAACTTGGATTATTTACTTACAGTACTCGCAAAATGTCAAATTTAAACAGCAATTGGAAGACCGGAATCAATAATGTCATTTTTAGTAATGTATAGCTTCGTTAGATATATATATGATGTATGAACGTTAATCGTAATAGAAAGTTTAAATTGGGCAAAAAATCACATTCGTTTACTTGTTACCGACGATTTTTCACATTCTAATTTTATTCAACTTATTCTGTTACAAAAAACGGGGTTGTTTTCTGAATTACGCATAGTAAAATCGACTCCTACTTTAAAAGAACTTTTATAATCGTACATAATTCGGTGAATTAAAAAAAATTGAGTCTGTGTTGAATGAATGGAATTTCGTCTTTTAAACACTTTTTTTCTTCTAAATTTGGAGATATTTAATTAAATTATTAACTAATGCCGAATATAGATGAAGTTTTCTATTTTGTGGGTATATGTCTTTTGATCACGAAATTATTAGTGTGAAGTGTCTCTTCACTTCGGACGGGGTTTGTCACTTTCCAAGAATATGCCTGTTTTATCTACAATATCATAAAGTTAAATCAACATCCAGTTTACCACGGTATTAGTTTCCTCTTGAATCGACACCTTGTTTCTTAAAATTTAGTTACTGCGTAACAATAAGCTGAAAACGATATTTCCAGGAAGATTAATTTATCTATTTACTTTACTGATCAGAGAAATTCCTGGTTTATTAAAAAACAGACTTAATAATATTTTGATAATGACTTTATACATAAATTATATATACATCAAAGTAAGTAGACTGCCCTCTTACATAATTTTTTATCATGTAATATTATTGGTTATTGTATGAGTGGAAAAGAAATACAAAATATTATTGATTATGTGAAACTTATAAATAACACCACGATAAAATTATTAATCAATCATCGAAATGGACAGGATCTTTCATAAGAATTGCTACCTACAATTAAATTATCATTACGTTAATTGTTGATAAAAGTTATCTATTCTACTCACGTTGAGGATGTGTTAAGTTCCAGACTTCTGAGTGACCCTACGTCAATTCCATTGGGCGTCTCTTTCTTCTCCATTGTTGTCTCCGGTTATGATCGTTAATGAGCGACTCTTACACTTATCATGGCGTGTTTCTACAACCTGTAAACAAGAAAAAAGTAATATTATCAGACTAAATAAATCTAATTGGGCCATTGACCTAAATTTGGAAGGAAAAACTAGGTTAAAATTGAATAAAAAAAACTGATGATTTTTCGACCTGAATAGTGAAATCATCGGTTTAGTTTTCGGTAGATTAGATTAGATATTACTATTGTCTATAGGCTAACCTCTTGGTCGAAATTGAAATTTTATTAATAACTGTACCCTCCACTTCTTTTCGACGAAACGTCTGTTATACTCTGAAGTTTCGACTAACAGAGTGAAGTTTACATGTTCTAAGTAACGATTTGTTAGGGACTGATTCCAAATTAGCTTTAAAACATAATGTTCAAAAAACATTTTTTTTTCTTATTCCCCTTTATATTGTTATTTGTTTTATTGAACTTCCAAAAGCTAAAATCAATGAAGTGTTATGATTAGTTTAAAAATAATAAAGAAAATATACAATCACTCAAAAATAAAACGGAACTTAAAAATGTTAAAAGTTTTTTTGTTTTTTTTTTAAATAGCTCCTTACTAATTATCATTTTAGTATGAAGCTCTCCACTGCTTGGTATTTATTGCATAATGTTAACCTCTATAGGAATAGTATGGATTACTTATTTTATTAGTTTATAGTCTTCGCGTTACTCCTTAAATATTATTTTGTCTCCACTTCTTGCCCGTGGTTTAAATTAAACCGAATAAACACTCTAAATTTATAGTATCATCTTTATTATCATTTTTATTGATGCATTTCAGGGATGCTTTGTCCTCTTCTTCAACGTCCGATTTGCTCAAGTATTGGGGTTAGTCCTGGAACCAATTTTTCATTACTGATTTTTTACGTTTCAACCGAAGCTTTTAGGTCATCATCCGGGCATGTTACCAACCAGTACTGATGATATTCAACTACCGCTGAGGAAATGAAGCAAATTTTTTTAAATTCCCAAAGTCCTACCTTGAAATTTCATTTTGTGAAATTTTACCGAGTACCTACATTTGTGGCATTACTAGGCGGGAAACTAGCGAAACTCCTTGAAAATCCACCATCTTTTGGATCGGTCAGTCAGATACTGAATACCTGAAAACTTTCAGTTAGCATGATGAAAACATGCCCTGATGATGACCCATAACCTTGGTTTGAAATGTTGGAAATAAAAATCTTAAAAACTGACTACGTCCTGATTATTTATCAGCTATTACTGATTTCCTTATATATATATATATATATATATATATATATATATATATATATATATATATATATATAATATATATATATATATATATATATATATATATATATAATGTTAAAGGTTGGCCTCAGTATGAAAATAAAAAATTTCAAATTTATACCGTGCCTATGGAGAGTATGCCCATTCAATATTACCGTAACTCTACGACTACTTATGATGACGACAAACCGGAATTTGGTCCGTTTGTATATGAAAATGGTAATGCACATACCCGTCGAAGAATAATACGTAGGAATTCTGTTATGAGACATTCGTATCTACCTATATGGTTACACAGCCTAGCTTCTACAATATTTTTTAATGACAAATTTAAAATGTTACATTTATGAAATGGTGTCGTAATCAGGGTTGTAAACGAACTCCTACTGTTTTGCTTGGTGGGTCATCTGGTAACGATTTAATTTTGGATAAGGATGACCAAGATCAGCATGTATCTTATGTTTTGACTTATACTATGGATGTTTATTATAAAATTATTTTTTTGGTCTTAATAAATGTAGTAATATGTGACTTTTAATTTTTATTTCAGATGCTTGAAATATTAACTTCCCAAGCTCTTGATATTGCCTCCTTCTTATATATTCATTATAGATTTTATAGTTGGCCATTTAAGTGTGCATAGCCCTTCTACATTAAAATGGAATTTAGAAATTTTTTGTATATATATTTCATTATGCATTTATATATCGTATTTCGTATAGAAAATGAATTCCTAGGAGCTAGGAAAGAAAAAAAATAGTTGGCCATATTATAACCGTAATATATTATCATGCCGAAATCCTTATTTGTACAGTGTTACATTTCGTCAAGTCATATTTTGTGCTGTTAATCGCATTAAATTTTCTCAATACATCGAAATTATTACTTGTTTAAATCCTTATGAAAATTTTCTGAGAGATCGTTTAAAAACAAAATTAAACGATTTATTTCATTATACTGTTGCTAAGAGACAGGCAAAAACCAGGAGATATTACTTCATATAATTTTAATCTTGGTACTTTAACTACTATTAATGGAAAGGAAATATTTCTTGATGAGTATGTTGATGAACATTTAGATTACCCCATTGATCATGTAACATGTGATAGACAACTCAATCTTATTTACTATCTAATTTACTATTTAATTTTTTACTATCAATTAAGCTAATGTATTTCTTTAAAAAAACAAAAAGACTATAACAGCATCGTTCCACTCTTATGTTTAGTATATATTTAATATTTTTTTGTAACAACATTAAAATTCCGAATACTTTACTCCTAAATTTTTTTATAGGATTACTTTTTCAACAAATAAAAATATTTTTTCAAAGAAAAAACGCCTCATTTCTAAGGAATTCATGGAATTTTTATTGAACGAAAATTTCTTATCTGCCCAAGCTCCGAATATGAAAGATTTGAATAAGCGGAATATCGCTGTATATAAAATTTAATGTGTAGCTTCGGTGAAGAAAGATATGACATTGAAAGTTAGGAACAGATACAATAAGATTAAATTTTTTTATTTATTTTTACAGTGAACTGAAAAATCGGCTTAAGAAAACCTTATTCAACTCAATCTTTACCTCATGTTTTGCTATAAAGTCATGATCGAACTGAATTATTTGAAAAAAAATGTTTCATTACAAATAAAATGTATTGATGGCTCTTATTGGCGCTAGACCGAATAAAGCCAAGTATCAGTAATGAAATATATTTATGCTCTCTATGATTGACATAAGTTGACCTCGTGTAGTTTTCATTATCTTTTAGCAAACATGTTGTTATGGATTAACGAACTTATCCAGTTCCACGCTAATTGCCACCTGTTATCAGAGCCGTTAATGACACATTGTATTGCTTTATAGCTTGGTTTGGATCGAATTATTTTCTTTTACCATTATAGTTTTTTTTGTTCTCAATCACAATCATTCGATGAATGTGTGACACGTGCTAATCATAAAATAACTATATATTTTTAAAAAACTATAAAAATCACCCATAACTGAAAAACATCAATCTCAATTACACTTCAAAACATCTTTTTTAATATATACAAGATATCCTTGGAGAAAAAGTTACAGATTAAGAAGAGGTCTATTGAAAATATATGTTAGCGCAGCCTGGATCAAAAAAAGCTCATTCTTGTTGTGATTCTCATTCCGATACCAATTTGTAGAAAAAAAAAATTGATATTTGAAGTCAAAAAACGTTAGACACCTGAAACAATTCGAGTATCTATCAAGTATTTTTGTCTTGGATTTGATATGTCTTACTTGAGGTTCGAGAGATATTTAAGATCATTTCAAACATTTTGAATGTCTTTTATTGCTCCTTCAACAATTACATATTATTTTTCCAAGACAAAAAGAATGTGTTTGTTGGCAAGTTATTAATATCAACACAATATTAATATCTTGATTTTTAACATAATGAAAAAGAAACAAAACGGCATAAATAAATGCTCATCAAGACCCAGGTTCATTACAAAATAGTGAGAAATTAAAAAAAAAAATCATTAATAGAAAAAAAGGACTTCGTAAGAACTGTTTATTTATTTATTTTTGTACAAAATGGAGCTAAAACATTAAATTTTCAAAATCCTGATCTTGACTGAGGCGTAAACGTCTAACCATAAGTGCTAACAAGCAATTACCAATGTTTGCAATATAAACTCCCGCAAACCTTTTGTAAGGCATAGTTAAACAAACAAACAAAAAAAAAAAAAAAAAACGAAACTTGATAGATACTCGAATTGTTGGAGGTATATAACGTTTTTTCCCTCTCAATATAACCGGATCAAACCCATTATTTATTTTTTTTATTTAGGATAATTTTAGCACGTTTACATTTACTAGCTGTATATATATATGTATATATATATATATATATATATATATATATATATATATATATATATATATATATTATAATTTAAAAAGATAACATATTGTGATTGATTAAGTTTTCTTTTTTTTTTTTTTTATGTCCCCTTCCTTGCCTTTTAGGCTACACGTGGTTTTTCCCGAGCCCGGAGGAGAGGGCGGGGGAATTTATCCGAATGGAAAATCCCACCCGGCACCGTGGTTTAAACTCCTAATTCAATCTTTCCAATTCTTTTTTTTTTTTTTTTTTAAATCTATTTATTGAATAATAATACAATCAGCCACTGCTGGAGGGCTATAAGCATTAAGGCTAAAAGTTCTCATTCATACAATATATACAAATAATAAAGAAACAAATATAAATATAAGAAGTAAATAAATAATACTGATGAAGAAGGTAAATACAAAGAAAAAAAAATAACCAAAACAAATAAAATAAAAACTCCTAAACAAAATCATAACTATATGAATCATAACTATATTGTTTTCCAATTCTAACTTCCGTTATCAGGTAGCTGAACAACGTGGGTGCTGTGCACACGCATTAGTCCACTCGGCCACCATGACCCCTATTTAATCTAAGTATTTACCTTACATCATTAATATAAACAAATATGGACCAATTAAAAAAATAAAAATTTTCAGTTAGTCCGAAAGCCCTCTACCTCACCAGAGAGGTGACTTTTCTCGATTTTTTTTTTTTACTTCAAATTGTTTTAATAAATTTGGGAAAATGTGGTTTTTCTATACTCACATATAATATCGACATAAAAATACGGGACGAAAATTTCAATATTCATTATTTCCAATATCG